CCCAGCAGAGTTTTAATTACGGAGCTGACAATGCAGGCAGGGATTTGGTTGATAAATGGGAAGGAAAAACATTTGGCACCCAAAGTATCTTCAAAAGTGTTGCCTTAGATATGGCATAAAATATAATAATATTTTTGAGTTCCTTTTCATTTTCAATTTGATATTCTGGTTTCGGCGATTATAGTCAGTTTATTTACACTATTTGTTATAGTTTCAGTTAATAAACCCATTAAAAATTAAAACTAACAAAATAGCAAAACATTTTTTAGGTATCCGATGATGTAGATTATTCTAATCCTAACTTAATTGAACTGATTTGTTTTTTGTAATTTTCTGAGCTAACTAGACTGACGTTTCACTTTGGTAAGTAATGAGTTGAAATCTGGAAAATATACAGCTATATGGTAAATATAATAAGCTCTCATTAACAGAATCGGAAGGGTAACAACTTAAATGAATTAAATGTCGAATCATAAATACTGATCGTGGAACACGTTTATTTGAACTTCTGTATGTCTTGTATGCATGTCTTCAGATGGCTTGTGAAATAAAAAAAGTACTATTTTTATACCCTGTACCCGTAGGGTAAAAAGGGTATATTAGGTTTGTGCAAAGTATGTAACATACAGAAGGAAGCATCTCCGACCCCATAAAGTATATATATTCTTGATCAGCATGACGAGAGAAATCGATCTAGACATGTCCGTCCGTCTGTCCGTCTGTCCGTCCGTCTGTCCGTCCGTCTGGATGAACGCAAGGATCTCAGAAACTATAAAAGCTGGAATAACCAAAGTTGGCATCCAGATTCTCCTAGGTCCGAGTAAGGACAAGTTTATTTTTTTTTTTTTTAATTTTCCCCCCCTTTCCCCGCTACAGAATTTCGTCAATAGCGTCCACATTTCAAATGCTACCTAAACCAAACTTTGCACACATAATTTATATATAATTGTCTATTGTTGTTCATTTTATTCAATTCGGTCAATTCTAAGAAAAGTTATTAGCAAAACAAATTTTCGCCAGTACAACCCCCACAAACTGCAGCAACAAGTTCGCTCTTCTTCTTCCTCTTTTTGCTGCTGCTATGGGCGCATATAACTCAGTGACGCAAGTTTACCTGGGTACAGGGTATTCCACTGTCGGGCTTGCTCGACTGTAGCGTTCTCTCTTGTTTTCTTGGATAGGATACTCTTCGATATATTAGTATTTTAGAATTCTCCGAATTTTGAACTTAATCGCAACTACTAAGTCAACTGTATATTAACATGGTGCTAGATAAGTCTCTTAGAATCAGTTTGGAAGCCTTTATTTTATTACTTTCTTTTTTGGGGAAGAACTACTTTGTTGATTTTATTTTTTTATAAACTTATCCTAGCGTTACAAATACCAGATTACTTTTAAGTGAATTAATTAATTTCGTGTATCACCTGCTATTATCGGAAGAAACTGTGGCACCATGTTATGCAAAGACTATTGCTTTAGCCATGACTATGAACAATACCAATATAAATAAAAGGCTTACTTGTAAAAGTACTTTTTCTATTCCTTGAATTCATAAACAAATTTATAGAAAAACGAAGCTCATATAATATTTATTTTATTTATATTTACCAACGAATACTTTTATTTGTTTTTCCCATTAATCACACTACCGATGATATATTTACAGTCATTTATTAGGCCCGAAAGCCAAACTCAAGCAAAAGGTTATGCACACAAGGTAAGCGGGTCAAATCCCAAGTCGAAGCTGCCAAACCACTTGGCAATTGCAGAAAAAAGAGCCAACAACAACAAATACAATACCAAGAAGCTATCCTGGTCAAGCCAAAGGGTTACAATGGCCAGTCCCCCAATTGGGTTTGCGGTCATATTTCATTTCTTTTGCAACTCGTTTCTGTTTTGTTTTTGTGGCAGGCACAGAAATGGAAAAAAAAAGGAAACTCGTCTTGAAGTGGCGTCCAGTGTGCATTTACATTTTTATTACAAACAAATTCGTTGCGGTTACAAATGTCGTCAATGCGAATAAACTTAAAAAAAAGAAGAGGAGAACAAACCTACGACTGCTTTCGACCAGTGATAAGATTCAGGATAGGGCTACCCTGCCGCTGTCAGTAGCCGCTTCTCCTCGGCACACTATTTACAAATTACTTACGGTTAATAAATCATGCCGCTTGTCAAAATAAATGCATAAATTTTCTTAGAATTGCGGAAGGCATCCTGTCACTGCTGCCAATTGAATTTGTGAATTGAACAAATGTATAGTTTGGTCCATTTCGGATTTGTTAAAGGATTAGACAGTTGGTCAAAGTTTTTGGGGTGATTTTGTTGCTTCGTTACTGCTGCAGCTACAAATGGTCAATGCCAAGCGTTTATAATTTTTCGATTTATAGTCACATTTATTTACTAACTGGCCGACCAACCAACCAACCAACCACTGGACCAAGCAGATTACAACCACATAAATGCCAGAGTAGATAAACGAAAAACAAGTCAAGGAAATGATTGATTGCCAAGGTTAGCAAGTGAAAGGATGTGGCCCTAAGGAATACAGTTGATTCGTAGTTCCGTAAAAGGATACAAATTTGTAACAATAAAGCATACAGTTAAGCGCCTTTGGGAATGAGTTGGCAGCAAATTTGCAATGCCCGGAAAAAGTTGCTAAACGAGTTAGGCGCATGAGAAAGTCACGAAGTCGTGAAGCTGTGAAGTCGGCAAGGGGTGTGCGCACAGTAGCTACCAAATGATTGATACCAAGCAGTCAAAAATTACTCAATTAGTTGAGCATTAGCTCACGAAAATGCGTAGCCAGCCATTAAGCCGTTCCTCGGCTTCCATTAACCCTCCTGCCTCTTGCTTGCCTGCCATTGTCTGCCTACCTAGAACAAATCAGTAGCCTCAGATTAGAGCTGTAGGCTAATTGCTATCTGCAGCCTCAGCCTCAGTCTCAGCGTAAGTCCAGTGGCCAGTCGCAACAATTAAGAAAACTATATACGAACAAAACAGAAAATGCTCAATTGAGCGTAGCGCAGAACCACAAAACCTCATTATAAACAATTTTCGTTATCAAAGACAAAGTAGAAGCAGAAATACATTAGCTGGAAGTAATAAGAGGTCCACTTGTATGGCTACGTGTGGCCCAGCCCAGGCCGTAACATTAGAACCTCGCTAGACACTTTAGAAAATTGCTGCAAATCACGAGATGCAGCAACTTTAGGAAAGCAAATCAAGTAAATTAGTAAAAGAGAAGGTTGAAATTCTTGAAAATTAAGTACCAGCCCAGTAAGTGCCATTAACATATGAGGAGACTCGTCTGCACTGCCCAGCCAGCAAGTGACCGCAGCTGTTGAATGCAACTTCTCTTGATGAGGATGACGACGCGGACGACGAGATGATGGCGGCATTCGACGCCGGTTCTGTAAATAGGCGTGCGTCTGGCGGCAAGTTGTGTTTGTCTAGGCGCTGGCAATTATCTGGCGCTAGGAGTGGACTGAGGCACCAATTTCAAATCTGAACCCAACAGAGCTATAATTTTCGATGGCAAATGAAATCCAAACAAATGCCTGATCTGATGTTAAGTGCAATAATTGTGCGACTCATTTCATCAGCATTATAAATGATCCAAAGTTGTTGGTGGAAGGGGACAAATAATATGTTGGAGACTATGAGGGCCTGCAAAGCCTGTGACAACATTTTTTTTTAAGAGACTGTAACCAAGGCTTAAATCCAAGCAGTACATGAACAAATACTTATAAACAGTGGTTATTTGAAATTGACAAACAGGTACTTTTTCACACTACCTCTCATTTAAGCTAGTTATATCTTTCATCGGACTATTTTGGCTAGCTGTTCCATTAAAAACTCTTAGCCAGTCAACCGTATCTTAAGTCTAAGTGTTGTTCTTAATTTTTTGCGACATAAAAACGCACGATGATGTAATCTACTTCGTATTTTCTTTATTCAATTGAGGCTTCAATTTTTAGCTCCTCATTGAATTAAATTATAAGAATATTGACTTAAAGATGTGGATTTTAAATCGTTTCGATTTTTCCGAGTATAAAAATCTTATCACTTCATAAAACCAGCAATTTAATAAATTAAAGCTTCAATTTTTAGCTCCTCACTGAATTAAAATATATATGGAATTAAAGATGTGGAATTTTGAATCGTTTCGATTTTTCCGAGCATAAAAATCTTATCACTTCATAAACGCCACGTCTCACTTTCTGTCCGCTAATTACATAAATGATATTATTATTCCATTACATTTATTTAAGCCCTTGCTGCATGTTTCTGTAAACCGTTTCTTATTGCTTCTGTATTTACGATTTGTATAACACGTCTTGCAGTTTAAAATGCTTTTTTCAAGCCCCACCTATATACAATGGTATATCAGCAACTGGAATCGGTTCTGTTGCTTAACAACATCTTCAATGCAATTGTTTTGCACCCAATTATATTACATACATATATATAATACACATTTTCAATAATCACATGCCAACACCCAATCAATACATATTTATAAGCATATTTATGTATATACAAGTATACATCTCATTATCTACCTTTCACCTTTTGCAATCAGCACGCAAACCCCAAAATCCGCAACCCAATTCCAGCAATTCGAGAAAATCCACAAAAATTACCATTTTGACCGCAGACAAATTAGTGTTATTAACACTTTTTTATTTATGCGCCTTTTTGGCAACAATTTTCACGCTTCAGCCTCTTTCAGCAATCATTGTCGGTCGTCACCTGGCCGAGTGGCTTTTAAAAATCTGAACAAATACAACAGAAACAACAGCAACAACAACAACAACAAATTCCAGGTTGCCCTGACCACAGGTTTTAATACACAAATGTTGGGCGCTCCTCTCATTTTCTGTTTGTTTGGTGTCAGCGGCGCTCAGTGAAAACAAACAGTAATAATACCGCATAATGCCATGTCCCCAGTCCCAGCCCCAACTGCTCCCGTTATCCCACCGACAGACATCGTCGAAAAATCCATTAAAAATGCGTTTCATTTTTATTTCTGTTTTTGTTTCGGTTTCTGTTTCCGTTTCTGTTGCATTGTGGCAAGGTGTTGCTTGGCTTTTCGGATTTTATTTATTTTTGCTCTTTGTTAACCGGTAGCTGTTGCAAATTTTTGCAATTTTCATAATGATGCAGGCCAGCAGGCAGGCAGGCTGGCTCTGCATTTTGTCAGCAGCTTGCATACCAGACCCAAATCGCAGATAATTAACTTAATTAGTTTATTTTAAAATACTGGGAATGCAATAAGCCACATGGGCTTACAAGTACTTACCACTTGAACGGCCAATTTGGTTGGTTCCCTCCCTCAGGCATTACGGCCAAAGATGATCAATTTAATTAGCCATAATAACTGTGTTAAGCCTCGATGAAAGAAAGAACCCACTAGAAAGGCGGAAGAAACTGAAGAGAATAAAACTATATTTCTGAATTTAAAATTTTGAGTTTTGTTATTTATTTATGTATTTGATAGTTTTAGTGTTTATTTCAGTATAGTTTTTTAGTGCAAGTTTTTCTTCAATAGAACTCGATTTTTTTTATGGAGATGGCTGCTATTTTTCCCCTCATATTTGTCAGAATTTAAAAAAGAGACAATTTTCATTTTAAAAGTGTTTAAAAATTACATTTTGTTATTTGAAATCTCAAAGCAGCCTTACTAATTTGTTGCTGTTGCTTATGGCCATTAGTCGTAGTATTTATCTGAAAAATTGTTAATTATGCAAAATTTTCAAAACATTAAGGCGTGAGTCTTGCAGAAATTACTTGAAATTATTTGCGCTTGGTTATATTTACACGCCCTGCCTTGTTTTGTTTACATTTCTAATTGCAATTCTCCATTGGCTGTCCTCGGATCTGTTTTGTAATCGTCTCAAGTGCTTCAGTGTCAACACCAAAGTCGGGCCGGCTGTGATTTAGAATGAGAGCAATAACAATGGAAAATTGAAATTTTTGGCTGTCATTGACAAGCTGGCGCTGCTAATTTGTCCCTGGGTGGGAACTTGATAATGTCACGCCTTGAGTCTGCCCACCACTCGAGGCTGTTTTGCATTTGACAATAACAACACCAATGAAAACAGTGCGTGGCATTGGCAACATTTCAAGTGGCTGCTCTTGTTTATTTGCACTAATTGCCCCCAGCCTGAAGAATGTCACACTTTTGACGCGATTCGCTTGGAAGAAGTGGATAAAATATTGTGTTAAATAAGAAGAAGAAGCTTTCAAAACTAAGGCAAAGAATTAGCAGTTCTCGAGTGTTTCAATTATAAGCAATATATTATGCGTATATGTCTAGTGGGAAGGGGTTTAATGGAAGCAAAATAAAACCAGAATTGAATACTGTGGAGCATAAATAGTGTTGAGGTCAAATTTGTAAAGGTTTGAAGCTTCCTATAGCAAAAAAAAAGTCTAATAATAAAATAGCAGTTTACGGTTTTACATGTCGAGTAATTTAGCATGTATTTTCTTAATTGGCTATCCCTGTTAGCATAAGTTTATTTCTGCAGAGTATTTATAATTTTAAGTTCATTACCAGCGGATGTCCTCGTTGGCATACGATTAATTCTGCAGAGTATTTAAGTCGACAGCTGTGTGCCAGTTAACCAGCCCTTTACTATTTAAATATACAAAATGGTAAAAGGTGCAACGTTTCTGCTCAATTAAACATGGTCCCACACAAATCCAATTAAATAAATTGACACTCAAATAGTGCAGAAACTATGATAATAGCCTCCTGACTTGGAATGCGCACTTGGCCATAAGTTACCCGCATTCGCACTTCACTTTGGCGCTGAATGCAAATATGTTAGTAGTTGAGTGTTTGTTCGGGTTGGCTTAACTTTAAACTACTAGTCCCTTCGATTCAAAAAGCATTCAAACTTAGTCACCCTTTGAGAATTCTTGTCCAATTATCCTAGACATTCAGCAATTTTTCTACGAATTACAGTGTGGTGAATTATGCATTTTAACGGCTTTTCCAGTGCGGATCGTGCTTATATATGTTAGCAGTACAGGAATAACTGAGAGGTGAGTCACCTGTGAGTTATTCGGACTGTAAATCGTACTTTCATGATATAACCTTATATATTGAATATGTAGAGGTGGCAGCAAATATTATTTAATTTTAGCTTATTATGCAACGCATTATAAATTACATAATCCCTGAATTCAGAGATGTAACAGGAATATAATTTTCAAATTTGCGGCTGCAAATTAATCTGAACACGAATTAAAGCTTTATAAAATAACGTTTCGGTAGATATAAAACAATAAAAATTTAAAAGAAAATAGTTGTACTTTGTATTAGAGTTTCCAAACTATTATTGTCATTGCTTCGTTTTAGTTTAAATACGGAATTATGTTTTACCCTAATTGCCCTTGACTTCAGCTTCAGTAAATGAATTATTTATTTTTAGGGGATGCACATTAGTATTTGTTCCGATTTGCAATATAGTTCTTCTTTGGTCCAAAATATACAGTCAAGCTCTGATATTCACATAAAGCAGACATTTTGAGGAACATCATTTTTAAAATTTCAAATTTGCGGCTGAAAATTAATCTGAACTGGAATTAAAATGTTATAAAATTACGTTTCGATAGATAAAAAAAAAAAATAAATAAATAATTTGTACTTGGTTTATACCAGTTTCCAAACTATTTTTGTCATTACTTCGTTTTAGTTAAAGTATGTTTTCCCTTGATACCATTTATTGGGCAAATTTTAAATGCCATTGACTTCAGCTTAAGTAAATGAAATATTGCTTTGCCAAGGGATGCATATAAGTATTTGTTCCAATCATATAGTTCTTTAAAAAAGTTTCCGTGTAACTCTTTAAAATACCTCTATAGTTCAGGCTTTATTCCTCCGCATTCTCACTCACTCATCATTTGAAGCCGTAAATCTTTCTTGCTCAAGCTAACTGCAAGCTCCTGCAATGCACTCGTATCGGCATCGGCATCAGCATCAGTATCTTCATCATCATCATCATCATCAGCAGCAGGCTTATGGAGAAATCAGCGAAATGCATTCAAGCATGTAGCGTAATAAACACAGCCCATGCCGTGAATGACCAATGCTTCCACCGTCTGCCCAGATCCAGGCACCCCAACAATGTGTCCAGTTTGCTGTAAAAAAAAGGAAACCAAAGCGGCGAAAACTCCACGCGCACTTCTTTGCTCAATCAAATGGAAGTAATTGTGGTGCCAGCCAGGGAGGACTGAAGAAGTGGTCCATTGTGCTCAGCCTCGCCTCTGCAACCCATACTTAAGGCGCAGCAAGCTGACCAGCAATAGGAGCAGGAACCGCAGCCTGTGGCGCACTCACTGAAGTGTTGATGCATCCAGGCAGCGAGCATTGATGTTTGGACCCCGAACAGGCACTTGGTGCAGCGGCTCAGTGGTTTGGTAAATGCTGCTGTCCACTTTAAGAGCACCACATTTCTCCCGCTCGATGGATAATTCTTTATCGAGCCATTGTGCCCAAGTTGGTTGCCCCCTTGTGCCTTGTGGGGGCAGGGCAGGGTGGGGTAAGCAGCAGCCATTGGGATACTCTGGCTATGCCAATTAGTTTGGCGTTGTGAGACGACTTTCATTTGCGGATGATGACTGACGTAGATGATGAGGGCAGTGGTCTGTTGACAAAGGGATTTTGTGGTTAGTTAGTGGCAACAGCTTATATTCTGTAACGTATGTTGGTTGTTTGGATGATCAGAAGCGGCAAGTACCTAAAACCCCCTTCTTTAATGCTGTAGCAATGCATTCGGACGGCTCTTCAATTCAACGAAATCGCTGCCTATGCACACAAAAATCTTTCCAAACAATTAAACGCCGAACCCCTTTGTAAACTGAAACCTAATAGAATAGAAAAGAAAATGCCGACACACTCGAAAAGTATATAGAAGTGACACAACTTAGGGTAGCATTCAAAGGAATTCCTCAAGTATTGTCGTTCCTCTTACGAGTTATGCAAATTCAGCCGACCAAAGAGTCTAACCGAATTTGTAGCGAATATCAGCTCGGCCCTGCACGTGTGCTTCTATCCAATACAAGTACTACAACAATAACAATACCAACAACAACAGCAACGGCAGGAGCAGCAACAAGCACTTGCACACCCGTTGCTGCCCTCCACCACCGTCCTATCCAGCTACAGACACTTGCCTTGGAGTACAGTTGTCGCAGAGGCATTTGAATTTCGACAAAAGGAAAAAGCGCTGAAAAATATGCCGTGCTTTTTTCGTATTGCGTGCTCTTATTGCTGTTGTTGTTGCTGGGTAAAATATTTTACCCATGACAGATGGTCAGTTGGTAAGTCATCAACCACCGAACTCGTACCATGCCTAGGTACATGTCCGTGTCGCCTAGTATGTCAGTCAGTTCGTCAGCGAGTCAGACACTCAGTCAGTTAAAGCAAATATGACAGTTCACTGTCGTCGGCGTTGTCGTTCGGTCTTCTGGAAGGCCGGCACTTTAACCCTCGCCCGAGTCCATTTGGGGGTTGCTCACCAGACTCAGACCCCTGCCACAACACAGTCACTGTTTGCCGACCAAGCCACGGACCGACTGAGTACAGTTTGTGCATTGATACTGTTGTGGTCGGCGGTGGTCGCCGCCACCGTCGCACAGTGGCATGCTTTGTATTTTCTGCAGCAAAATTATTTACTTTTGTAAATCAACTTTTGTTATAAACTACATACACAACGTTGGGGTTAGCTGTAGATGAGAACATGCCTTTTTTAAATATATATTAAAGAAATATAATATAATGAGGAACTGAAAATATGCCATATGCCATGTCTACTTAAAATATAATAAGAACGAAATTGCGAAATAAAACATTGCTCTGTCTACATTCACGGATTATACTGTCTTGGAATTCAGTTATTAAATTTATTTAAAATGAACGATATTTCGGTATATACATTAAGAAAAGGAAACCATCATTCTCAACCTATTTTAAAAACGGCCTTTATGATTTTTTATCACCTCTCGCTAAAGTTGTTTTATTTTTCAACATTTCGCCATAAATGGTTAAATTTGTTGATGAAATATATATCTTTTTAGAACATACTTTCTGTTTATTTATGACAAAAGAGTTTAAATTTGTTGATCAAATATATATCTTTTTAGAACATACTTTTTGTTTATTAATGAACACATTTGGAACATACTTTCTAGTTCTTAATTTCAGAATTTGAAACATTTTAGTGAATTCGCAACCAGACTGATACGGTTTATTTTATTTCATTAAACATTTATCTCTCAATTATACATACATTTTGGGTCAGTCTTTTTAAAGCCTCATTCATTCTTGCCAGTGTACAAAGTACATCGGAACACACATTTATTTCTGAATAATTTTGATTGCTGGTACCACTGTGCGTGTTGCTTCCGTCGCATTGCACTTGGGTGATGTGCCGGCAATGACAGCCAACAATCGCAACAAGGGGCACACAAGGTAGTCGGAATCGGCAGAAGGTAGTAGTAGTCATGTAGTCGTCGACATCGTCGAGATAAAGTTATGTGGGCACTCACTTTTTGCCTACCCATCGATGGCCTGCCTTCTCGTATCTCAGCCTACCCTGACGAGGGTTGTGTTTTTGTACACTCGTATGTGTGTGTGCTGAGCACTGTGTTTTGTGTGCGGGATTTAAGCGTTAAGTGGTTATATTGAAAATATTGTATTTACATCAGTGGGTGATTATGTGTGGTGTGGTCTGGTCCCGCCGGGGTTGTCCTCTCCGCTGTGGGTTTGCATTTGCTACGAGGATGACTCACATGCACGCCGAGGATATTGATAATTTCATTAAACTATTGAACCACATATCGCCATGACACTGACTATGGCTATGACTATGGCTATGGCTATGGCTGAGTGGTGTTGTGTCTAAGCGTAATTGCTGCTGAAATTGGGATAAGTGAAAGGTGTACCCGGAGCATTATAGATAGGGCGGGTAAACAGGCAAGTGTACAGGGTGGTGAGGGACGACTTATCAATGACTACTAGTTCTGACTTTGATGGATATGGGATGCTACAGTGTAGATGAAGTTGTTAAAATCTTAACTATTTGTGAATTCAAAAAAGTTAATCATATAAATGTTAACATATTCGAGAGCTCCCAGGCTTAACTTGCAGGCATTGAAATAGAATTTATACACACACACAGTTTTTGTAAATTAATTCCATATAATTTCAAATTTCACATTTTGAGAAACAAGTTCGTCACACAACAATACCTAATTGAATCCGGAAATTTGTACAAATTTAAAGTCGTACAATGAACATATAATTGTAGTATCTTTGCAAATATGATTACTTTGTTGCCTAAGATAACCGTAGCATACAATTGTATACAGTGAAAACTCCCTTAATGGACACCTTTTATCCGGACACTCTCTTCGGCGGACACCTTTTCTAAAAACATTCGATCGGTGTATAAAGTTTTTAAGTATCCCCTTAAGTGGACACTCCCCTTGGACGGACAAAAATTGGCCAACTCTGAGTGTCCGGCTAAGACAGTTTTCACTGTATAGACATTGGTCTCCATACTGGCAAGCAAGGCAATATCTATACAGTAGAAAAACTTACGTTCATCGACTGCGATAGGTTTTCAACATAACCAATATATTTTTTCAAGTTATCGAAAATATTTTGAACAATGTCACTTACAGAAGCATGTCATTAATGTATTTGTATTATTTCAATCAAAATCCAATTCTGTGCATATAAACAAAAAAGAAGCGTGCTAAAAAGTTACATTTTGTGACCTTCTTGAAATATATGACGAATTTGCATGAAATTCTTTGCCTGTCTGATCGTACCTTACCTTCACATTTATATTAGTTTTAATAAAAAATAAACGAACAAGAAGAGTGCTCAAATGTTACCATTTGTGACCATCCTGGAGTATTTGAAGAATTTGTATGCAAATTATTTGCCTGTCCGACCGTATCTATCTTTTATATTTATATTAGTTTTATGTAACTTCGTATACACGTACTCTAAAAAGGCTGCTAATGCCGCGCTATAAACAATCTAAAGTATTTGTCACTTTGGCAACTTATGTGACCTCCACAAGAGTTCATTACGCGACCAAAGTTCGGCAACAAACAATGGCCAAATGGGAAGCCGTACGCAGAGCCGAGGGAGTCGGACTGCAATGCATTCAAATGCAACCACAAAGAGGCATAAAAAACCAAATGTGAAGTGGTGCGAGGGCAAAGGATATTAATGATTTTGCGCTTGAATTGCAATTGCAGCAACAACAAATGGCAATGTAATAACAATAACAATATATCCACGCGCACACACACACACACACACACACACACACACACTCCCAGTAATAACAACCACTGCGGTCAAGCTGTCAATTTTTCAAAAAATGAACTACATAAAAAAGCAAGTGAAGCCATCGCCGCCACAGTGGCTGCAACATCGACTGCCTGGCCTGACCTCGTCCGTCTCGTCCCGTCCTGTCCCGTCCAGTCCGAGGAGGGGGGTTCGCCGTCACTCACCCTTAGACTTGGACCCCCGAACGCGACCATGTTGCGTTGCCAACGCAGTGACATGCACTTTTTTGCATATCACTGCACTCGGCGGATGCGAACCCTTGATATTTGATGGCTGGTGGTCATCTGCAACTTCAGTTTTTCCTTTTTTTTTTTGAAGTACTATATGTGTGTCCCTCTGCTCGGCTTTCAATTTGTTTTGTTGCTGTAATTTTAAGCACATTTGTGTTTGTTTGCCGAATGATTTGCAGAAAAACGAAAATTTGTTTTTTGGCTTCAGTTGTTTTTTTTTTTTTTTTTTTTTTTTTGATGTTTTATGGGGGCGCTTGCCAAGTTTTTTTATGTGCGGATTTTACGCTTGGAAATTAATTGAGTTTTTTTCTAGTTGACTGCGTTTTTAATGAAATCGTTAGTGCTGTTGCAGTTGCATCGTTCCGACGGGACTGTTGGTCATTGCCGTGGAGATAATGCCCGGAAATCATCGGTAGTTGTTGCCTTCGCGGCTTAAAGGTCCAAAAGTTCGCTGTTTGCACAGTTGTTCAAAAGTGCTCGATGGTTTTTAAGGGCCTATCACTTGCGCTATTCGACTCTTTGCTGTGCTATAGTGGGGCAAAAAAGTAAAAAATACAGAAATTCAAATGAGTCATAACAGGTGTGAGGCATGCTCGGCCATAAAACGGATTGACTTGTCCACCCGCTCTCCCATTTATCTCAAGGCAAACAAAGTAAATTGATAAACATCCAACTACAATAGGAGCTTGGAGCTAATTGCATTTTATTGCCAAAAAGAAAGCCACTAAAATACTTGGCTCATAAAACCAAACACATGCCACAATGAAACATCAACCAAATGTTATCTAATTGAAACCCGGGCGGTGCAAAGAGTTACTCGAACAATGGCAAAAGAATGCAATTAGCGGCCCAACCAAATAATAACACAAATGTTTGAAGAAATACGTGGAAATAAATAGAAGAAGAACTCACATAATTACCACAATTCCGACAATAACGGCCGTCAAAAAATCGTAAAAAGTATGTCTCAAAAATATTACGGCCACACTTCGGGCCTGACACTCTATGGAGCCAGAGAGACCATTTATGAAGAATTTTAGTAACGTGTGGCGGGGCAATTACATTTATTACGCGGCAGGGCGGCGTTATATTTACTCGGGGCACATATCGTAAAATACATTTGATGTTATTTTTAATAAAATTGTTTAATGATTTATCGCCAGCCAGATCTTTACAGCGTCGCTCATACGAAATTAGTGCAACATAATGAAACTATTTAGTGAGGAAAGCATTCCTAGAAACAAGTCCACAGACAAATAAGTGGAAAAGCGTTCGAGCAACAACCAACCATTCAATCAAAATGTACGGCCATATTTTCAGTTAATTTTTATGTAGTTTTAAAAACTTATAATTAATGTGAAAGGCTTGCCCTTTTATCGCTCGCATTTGATCTACATTTTTCAATTGGCCGAGCCAGGGCTCTGCACAGCCTCGTTTGATGTATGGACCAGGCGTTCGAATTGGTTTTTGTTGGAAAAAGGTGCCATAAAGTGATCCATGCTTAGCTTTAAAGATGTGCCCATTGTTGGTTATTTATTAGCTTTTGGTCATTTGAACGCGATCCGTAGTTAATCTTGCTCATTTCACTGATCATCAAATGAGGTTTTGTTGCCTCTTCGGTACGTGTTGGCATTTGTGGAAAACTTCATTAAAAGCTACTTTTGAGGCCCCATTGTAAATGGGAAATAGTTTAAACATTCGTTATGCTTTTACTCTGTTTGGTGTGATGGAATGTGTGGCATAAAAAATAGATATGATTCTTAGTTTGTTGTCTTGTAAAATGTGTGTGTCAGCTATTTGACGGCGCATGTCTCTTGAGTCATCTAGGAGGGCCTTTCAAAAAACAAGTGTACAACAGCCCACATGAATATTTCAACCAGCACGTGCCCTTTGAGGAGACATTCAACCTCCTCATGGCACTCTACACTTCATTTGCTGCAATAGATGCTTATCGCAACAACTCGTAGGGGCTATTTGAAAAAATGACCCAAAAAAATTGGTGTATAAATCTACAGTCGAGCTTCAGTATACCATGACATGAGTTTGACAGAAATGTTTGAATAATGATTCTAAATTAACAAAATAAAATTTACAATTCACCTTTTATTTATTGGAGCAAAAATGTGAAGCGAAACAATACTTGAATCTTGGCAAAAGCTCAGCTTTCCCTGAAAAGTAATTGCAAGAGAATAGATTTGATTTCAAAGTTTTAAAATTGTTTAGCCAAATAATCTTATTGCCACAGTGGAAAATGCTGCCACGAGATTTTTTATTTATCTAAAACTTTGCTTTTGGAGGAAATAGGCAACAAAACAAAAATGTGCTTCTTAACATCAAATATTCCCCATTTAAAGGAAATTAATTATTGAAACTTTTTCAAATTATTGAAATAAACTAAATATATAACTTAAATCACGAATAAATGTTTGTCCTGTGTAAAATAGAAAGATATTATCGAGTTTTTATATATTTACATAGGGATAAATGTTATTGAAGCATTAGAAAATGATTGAAACAGACAATTATCTACAAGTATATTATTCATTCGAAGTGACATCCAATAAGTTTTGAAATTAAGCTTATAGAATGTACAATTTTTGGAATAACTTGAAATCATATAATATTTATTATCCGTTTTTTTAGAGATCTAGTGTATTTACAAGGGGGCAGTATTTATTGGATCGCTTCCAAAATATTGGAGCATCCAAAATGCTTTTACATACGTAAGACGGAAAGAAACCTGTTGTTGTATTTTGCTCAAAGCTAAGAAATAGGAAAATTATAATTATATTCGAATTAAATAGATTTTACATATATGTTTTATTTTATATACGATTTGTAATTTTGAGCTGCACATTGAGTGCCGTAGTGACGAAGAAGATTGTCATAGAAAGGTTCGACTGTCTGATGTTCATTTAGACAAAGTGTGTGTGTGCGTGTGTGTTGAAGTGGTGGCAGCCACCCAGCAGCTAAAACGCCAACTCGGACTCCAACTCCAATTCCAACTGCAACTGCAATTAAAACTTTTCATGCACATCAACTTTCACTCAAGCGCGCCGAGGCACTGACTGACAGCAACAAGCGGCAAGCGGCAGGCAGCAGGCGGCAGGTCGCCCTTTGTAGCACACGCCCCAACTACGGCGGCAACTACTCGTCTTTACTATCAGCATGAAAATATAAAAAATAATATTTTTCTAACAATGACAGGCAATCAACACGGGGTCCCCAGATACAGATGCACTCTCTGCCATATCGTGGGCAAACAAATTTTCTGTGGAAAGGAGATCTTGAAAAAGATCTTCAAGCACAAACAGAAGCAGCAGTCGGGATAATCGGTGCTCCGGGGGGTGCGGGAATAGGCGGCAGGCGCACAGCAGCAGCAGCAGCAGCATGTCAAGTCGGCTCATGCCACAAGTCGGCGCAAGTGTCAAGTGTGTGTCTATTTGGTTGGCAGTGGCATGGTCTTGTACTCTTGTATAGTGTGCCCCCTTGTGGCTGAGCTGGCTGCTGTGTTTTTGGGTTTCATGCCACTTGCCACTTGGGCAAAACTGTTGTAATGCCTCAGTTTTTGTGTTTAATGCCAGTGACAACACTTGAGGCGCACTTGGGGTTGTCATGTGTGTGTAATATGCCTCCAAAGTGATGTTGCATTGAAATTCATTCGTTTTGTGGAACGCAACAAGTTGATAATGACTGAGAAACCTTCAAACTTTGGGGTTACTCATTATTTCCTAAACTTTAAACTTCATTAAATTTTGAAGCCGCCTGTTCAATACAGCTCTTAACATTTTGCTGTTGATAGAATGGGTCTCTTCAAAAGTCAATGAAGCACATTTCAGGAAAAGTTTACTCCATAGTACCGGAAAGTAAATGGATTATTTGATATTGAATATCCTCGATCTGATGAACAAATGTATTTGGATTGGCGTGAAAGAAAACTTGTAGTTCAGCTTTAATGTCAGCTTTAATTTCTATATTATGGGTATGTTTCGGAAAAATTTTAAATACTCTGGATGATCTCTCAGACGCCCTTACGTCAAGATAATATTCTCTTTTTCTTTTCATTTTGAAGTTATTATAAATTAACTTGGAAATATTAATGGATTGCTTTTATTTTATTTTATTTTATTTTTGACTTTCTATCCATTAGCTTTAATAAGTCTTTAATTGCATTTGATGAGACAGTTCAAGGGTAGTTATTCGATATTATTGTTGTTGTGTGCATTTACATAGTACTAATACTGTGCTGTCAACTAAAGAAGCTCTAAGCTAGGAATTGTGTAAACTAGCCTGATGAGATGATAAGGTTTTGAAAGGCTTATCTCATATAGTTGTAGACACAAAGGCACATTTCAGACTCACCTGTTTCTTACCTAACCTATTCATTTATTCTCGAAATACCCAAAAAATGAAGCTAACAGATAAACAGTGTAAGAAAGTCATACAAACAGATGCAACACAATAAATAAATACAACTGTTTATATCATAATGGTGTGATCTCTCATTCTTTTCGTTCTACAATCGAAGACTTTGAAAAGTTCTGTAGCTCCTTTATGGGATGTTTTGATGGAGCTTTTCATTCATTAGGCAGATGAACACAAACATAAGTATTTCACAGTTAAAAACTATCTGCTCCACGGTACTTATCACAAAGGCGAATGAACAGCGACCCCATGCGGTCTATTAGCCCCGCTTATGGCGCTGCCAACACCATTTAGCCAAGGCAGGGGCCCACATAATTTCTATGATTATGTTGGGAGCAAAGAGCAGGCAGTCAGTCGCTCAGTCGCTCAGTCGGCCGCCCAGCCCAGCCCAGTCCAGCACATGGCCCAGCAGCCATCGTCTTTGTCATCATCTGTGTGTTCTCGCCTAATACAGCAGCACCGCTAATGCTGATGACGATGAACACGTGCACGACAATAACAACAACAACAACAACGAAGACAACAACTACGCTGCAGATCGTTTCGCATAAAGTGCAACTTTGATGACTCTGAACGTTTTATGACAAGACCATTGTAAGTGCTGCTGCCATCGTCTTCCCGCTCGATCGCTTGCTTGTTTGCCTTGAAAAAAAATCCGACGCATAATGCTCATGCACTGAGAGAAAAGGAAACAGTTGTTTTGAAACTTGTATTTATTTATTTCCTCGACAAATATGTCAATGTAAAAAAAGAAGAAGAAAA